TTAGTTTGCACAGAAACGTTTCGTTGTTTAGTTTGCATTTCTTGCTTCATTCCAATGTTTTACTGTCGTCCATGCAGACTTGTGTGTGTGTGTGTGTGTGTGTGTGTGTGTGTGTGTGTGTGTGTGTGTGTGTGTGTGTGTTTGTGGATGCCTCACCACCAAACTCCGCATGGCAAGGTGTTCACAAGTTTCATCACCTCTGCGAGAGTGTGAGCTCACACACACGATGCGCGCATACACACACGTCAATTAAATCCCCGTCCTGAAAACGCAACTTCCTCTAAACACACACACACACACACACACACACACAATAACACACACAGCTTTGCGTCCACAGTGCCAGACAGCATTCTCACATCCCTCGTTATGCTCGGCGATAACCACCCACCCACCGACTCCCTGCTGCAGCAGATAGGAGAGCTTATTAAAAGTACACTCTGCTCGCAGCGCACACCGTCAGAGATGTTGTCACAGAAAACAAAGCAGCCCTAATGCTGAGAAGATGAATCCTTTAAGATTCAGTGAGAGCAGACTGCAGAAATCCGATGCGCTTCAAGAAAATTACCTGTAACGGTTCAGTTTGGCCCCTTTCGGCTCACTTCCTCCTTCCATGCAGGGCTAATTGCACAGGTCAGCTCTATGACATCACCGCCCTGGCTAGCTGTGATCTTCATGTTACATATAGAGGCCTCATTAGCGCGCGGCTAACCGAGCGCTCGACGTCATCACGCCCCGTCTTTCCGGTAACGAGAGTGACAGCAGCTGTTGTAATTACAGTCACTCCATTCTCTCACCAGCTGCCTCCCATAGCGACTGGCTGACTGCGTTTGTCCAAATCCGGTTGTTGATTCTGTTAAGTGAAGTAGTCATCGCCCATCATGGCATTTTTTTCTTTTCTGATGATTTCTCTGATGGAGATGGAAAGATGAGGGAAGACGTAGAGGAGAAGAGAGTGGCTCTTAAAGTCATAAGTTAGTTTGAAAAGAGTTTTATTCACAGATTTCTTTAAGGATCAAAGAGAGAGGGTTTCCTGTCCCTGTTTCAGCTGGCTCCAGGCCCTTAAGGAAAAGAGTGCAGTCACTCAAATAGGAAAGGCAATTGTGAGCACAGGTTACGTCCCATTCCGTGAAAACAAATAGTCAATATTGGAGCCATTTGTTTTTCACAAGCTCTCTGTCTTCAGAACATCGTGCACCTAAATGACATACGAGAGAAAAAAATCAGAGGGAAATGATCTTTGTTCAGATCTGTCTCCGTCTGACCAACACACTTCTGCAAGATCTGGTGACCAGTAAGCGGCCAGTGCTGGCCGAGGTCTATTCCCAACGTTAAAAAAGAAAAAAACAGAATTAAATGCATGACCGCAAATGAAACCTGAACTCATTTGTTCCTGAGTCTCAGAAGAGTAAAGACTGCCAACGGCCGGCTGTACTTCAGAGAGCTCATTGAATCAGTGCCCGTCTCTGCCCCCGGGCGCTTTTTGCTGTGATATAAAGTGTGCAGTATGATGCGGCATATTTGTCCCTCTACTTAGATTACTGCATGCACAGTGAGAAGTGCACAGGCAGGAACTCTGTTTCCCAGGGTTCATTGCAAACAGAGCAGTCCCAAAGCGTGGTCTCCTCTCAGCGTCCCGGCCCTGCAGAGGTGACGCAGGCGGGGGCTAATGATGACAGCAACACACTAATAATGGTTCCCAGTAGCTCCTGTGACAGTGGGGAGTGAATTAAATGGGACACAGGCTGACTCACCCGCAGCCCCCCCTCCCCCCTCCTAATGAGAGTTTGATGGAGTGGTTGTGTAGGGCGATAATGCTAAGTTAATGAGATGTCCTATTCCATGAGTCTGTTTGCAGTTCCCTGCAGAGCTGCTGCGAGTGTGTGTGTCCTGCGTTGATGTATATTGCTGTCTGCTGAGTGTGTGTGTGTGTGTGTGTGTGTGTGTGTGTGTGGTTTCTTACCTGTGAGCAGTATATTGCTTTTTAGATTATAGAGCTGTTTTTTTTTTTTTTTCCGTGTGTGTGCTTGTTTGTGCATTTACTTACCTCCGCTTGCAGCTACAGTACATTTCATCATCCTGCTGCAGCCCGGCATTCGACAGGAAATTAACTGTCATATTTCAGAAAGAGTGACGGCGCGAAAAACCGTCCTAAGAAGCGACAGAATTAATAAACGACGGAGAAAGTAATAATAAAAAAAAAAAAAAATGTGCCAGGAGAGAGAAAAGGGAAGCAGAGGCACGTCGTTAACAAACATCGGGGCTCACTGCGAAAGGGAGAAGACGGGAGTTTTTTGGTGATGAAAAAGGGATAAGATAATGGCAGAGCCTCCCTCATGGCAGGTACATGTCTCTAATTGGGACTCCCCCCCCCCCCCCCCCCTTTCTTTCTCCTTCCATCTCCTCTCAGACAATGCAGTGAGAAAAAGAGGCTTTCCTAATTAATGCAGATATAATGATGGGTCCAACTGTGGACCTCTGCCCCCTCTGAATGTTGATTAAGGAGATCTGTGTGTGTGTGTGTGTGTGTGTGTGTGTGTGTGTGTGTGTGTGTGTGTAGACGGGGCTAATCTTGCAGGCATGCTGAGCCAGATAAACCTGGGATTTTTGGATAATCATATATTTATGTGTGATATAATTATCCGTCTATTGATGCACACTGAGATTAATAGTGCTGATATTCCTTCTCCCTACAATCCGGAGCTCTACATTGAGCTAATTGGTATGCTGCTTTTGGCTTCGGCATAATGTGGGAGTACTTAGGAAATTAAAATAGTTCCATGAAAGAAGAAGAAGGAAAAAAATCTCTGCAGCAGTGCCCACACTTTCTGTGGCGACGGATCTCGAGGAAGTGAGGGTGGAGAAACGTTCCAGCAAAACAGGGCTTAGCAGCGGTGACATAACCTGGAGGAGAAACCAAAGATGAAACAAGGATGGAGCCGGTGACAGATTTAAACTTCCTCAAAATCGCTGTGAGAACAGGGTGAGACTGCACGGGATGCCAGTTTCCATCGACTTAACACGTCAGGATCCGTGTAGCCGAGATGCTTCTGTGGCAAAGAGGAGCTCCTTTATACCCACACAGGAGTTTTCAGACATGTTGGCTGATTAGACCTCTGCTTAAAGCAAAGAGTAGTTTCTAAGGTTTCTAAGCACACATTATATGTCATCAATCGATATCTATTTTTCTTTCATTTCCATTTGTGCCCCCTTGCGACTCTGGGGAGTTTTTTAAAAAATGCACTAAAGGCTGCTATGCTCAAATCGTCCAATCAGAAGCTAATCTAATGCATTACATTGTGTTTGCTTTGCTTCTGGTAAGTAATTTAAGGTTCAGTGTCTTCCCTGAGGAAACTTTAACATATGAACTGCAGGATGCAGCTGAGTTCTATCTATGAGGGGCCCGCTTTACCTCTGAGACACAACGGCCTCGACAGCAAGTTGCAGTCAGCCTTGCTTCATTTGCTTTGTTTGCATTAGGATCACATGAGCTGTTACGTTGCTGACTTTTGTATGTGCAACAATCTTAAATATATCCAAAGTATGCTGATGTGCATTTGTGTCTCTATCTGAAGGTGTTTGCAGGTTTGAGAATGAGGAGAAGAACATGTGAAGTGTGAGTTAGCGTCCAACATGAGCGAGCATTTTGTATCTCCTGTGGCAGTGGCAGAAATTAGCAGCATTATTCTGAGCTGCAGGAAACATTTTGTGTGGGTGTTTGGTTGAGCGTCATTCAGGATGAGGAGGTTACTTCAGGTGCATCGGAAACCCACAGGAAAATGAGGCCACAATTAAGCGCAGTCTGTAAACAAGAGGAGGTTAAATCTGCCTGTGAAAGGTGACAGTGTGGGTGGACAATTATTCTGTAGGAGCTTTAAGTTAATTCATTTGAATACCGGATGTTTACGGCAGGCCAAACATTCAACACGGCAACATTACGGACTGTCAGCTGTATTAAACAGGAGCTCATCACCTCTGTGCGCCTCCTCCCTGCGAAAACAGGAGCATTGCAAGTCTGTGCCTCGCTGCTGGCAGTGTTAGCACTCACAGGTGTAACTGTAGTGAGCACATTAGCTCAAAAACAACACTAATTGGTTTGCAGGATGGCACGGGGCCAACGTGGCAACCCCGTCCAGCTCTCACCGCGGCTCTGATGCTCTCGGCCGGGCCAGCAGGGTTACCATTCAGGCCACGTAGCCGCCTGTAGCAGTAATGAGAAGTGCCTCGCCGTTAATGAGATAAACACAGACATTAGATTGGCTCAGCGGGGGCTCGGAGGAGAGGAAGAGAGGGTGGACGGAGCGGAGGAGGGTGGCGGCAGGCGTGGTGAGATAGAAAAAAAAAAAATGAAATATTTAGAAGACAAAAAGCTTTGTTAATTCCTCCAAAGTGTGAAAAGGAGCTTCATTAAAACCCACACAGAGGTGACAAGTGTGTTTTCCTGCAAAACCGGAGGAGAGCAGCCGCAGAATGATAATGATGATGACGGTTTTAATGGAAAAGTTGATATGAAAATCATAACACACTGAGGAGCAACAGCCATTTTATTGGACGAAATGTTCAAATATTCATGCTCCATATGCTCGCTGGCACTTTTTCATGTGCACACACACACACACACGGTCACACTCAAACTGTGCCTGCTGTGACTTTATAACTACATCTCTCATTAAGCAGTCTGTTTTCCTTGTAATAAACACACACGCATCGTTTTGTGCTGCAGTGTGTGCATGTGCATGTTAATGTTTTGAAAGTTGAAGCTAGCCTGGTGTGTTGGTATTTGCATGTTGTGTGAGTGTAAAAGCCCCTTTTGTCAACTCATACGAGCAATATGACGCTCGCAGTGAAGTACATTTTGCAGCCTGCAGCGTGATCTACTTCAGATTTAAAGATTGCAAAGATGACTAGGACACTTTCTGTCGTCCTGGGATTTGTTTTGCGTTTTGAAAAACTCACACATTTGTGTATCCTCTTTTTTTTTTTGTCTTTTTGGCGTCCAGGTTTGGAAAGAAGAAAGACGCCAAAGCCGCTAAAGGTAAACTGGAGGCCCTGAGTGAGGAGGAGCTGGACAGGATCCCTGACACCAGGGGCAGGTAATAATTCAACCTCCTCAGTCTCTGTGTCAACAAACTTTATACTGCTTTGTGTTCAGAAAGATAGTCCAAGCCCTCACAACGATGTTTTTACTCTCAAATAGCAAACCTGTTTATTTTGGAGAAAAATAGGCCTCGAATGCAACAAGACATGTTAATAGCTAAATGAATAGCTGTGTCTTCTGAATCAGTGATAGACACATTAGGACTTATTAGACCTATTCAGTAAGTACGTAGCATTGTTTCAGAAGTCTCCTTTCTACTTGTACACTCCTTTAGTGGCTCTAAAATGTGTGAGTATGTTTTCATGTGAGTCATAAATGAAGTTTAGTTTATAAGTGGGGACTTAGCTCGAGTTTTTTTGGATGTGTTTCTTCCAGTTCGGGAAATCAAACGAGAGCGATTCGCAGCACAATAAAGTGCGAAAGGAGCCGAGATTTCACACAATCATGCTTCGAGTTCTTGTCAGTGTTGTAAGAACGCTTTGATTGACACCTCACTCGACAAGCTGTGAATTATTCTGACGCAGCGACGCGCGACCACCAGGTTCACGCTAAAACAACTGCTCATTTGAATGTGTAGCCCAGCTGTCTGTCAAAACCGCCTCGCTCAAGATATAGAGACTTCAAGTTACCCCTCATGTCTCACAGCTACGATCCACGTTACGCCGAGATCCTCTCCAACCACCTCGCCCCCACCGACGCCACCTCCTTCCCCGACGTGGAAGACGACGACAGCGACCCCAACTACGCCCGCATCAGCAACTTCCGCCCGCCGCCGTCACCTCAGTCGTTTATCAGCCGCACGCCCTCTCCTGCGGCGCTGACCGGAGGTTCCAACCAGCTCCGGGCATCATCGGAGGATCTGGACGGGCTCTACGCCAAGATCAACAAGACCAGACCTCCGCCTGCTCAACAGAACCAGCTGCAAACACCGGCGGACAGGTGAGACAGCAGAGGGGAGCGCTTTTGTGTGTTTGTTTGTGCGTGCAGCTTTTTGTGTCTTGTTGTTCCTGCAGAAATACACAAAGTCGTGTGTGTAGATGTGCACACACACACACACACACACACACACACACACACAAGGTCACAGACCTCTGCGTGAGGGAGCATTTGCACATATCTACATTCATGGTCTGCCAAGCCGGACAATGCATAAAACATGAATGCATGCTTACACTGGAGTAACACTCACGCACACGCTTGTACAGTAACGCTATGCATAATTTATTCGAGTCGTCTGTTATTTTTGCATCTTTTTGACCTCTGTAAATCTTAAAAATCACTAAAAACGTGATCATTATTTCCCCGTTAGATTACATTTTTAAACGAGACTCATTGCAAAAGCAAAAATCTTTGGAGCCAGTTTCAGAGCCGAGGTTAAAACATGGAGAAATATGAGGTGCTTTTTTAAGGCCTCAGTTCAGACGTCTACCGCTACCTCTCTCCTTGTATTTCCATCCAGTGAACGCACACATACAAGCGTGTATGCAGCAGCTCAACACAATCTGAATGCACAAGGTTGCCTCTGCTCAGCGCTCTCTTTCTATTTAAAGTTTGTATTACAATCCTAAAACCCCTCCTCAGACCGCCAGCTGGATCCTCGTCTGCTCTCACTCTGCATGATAATACCATCCAGGCAGATTCAATAACAAGTCGCCGGCCTCTCTCACACACATATATATATAAGCTCAAAGTCAATATGAGTGGATGCTGTAGCATGAATAATACATATGAATGCATAGAAAGTGAAGTTTAAAAGGGCTTGGCCTGAAATCTTAAAAAAAAACCCTTGACTCAATTTGTCGTTCACTGACAGACACCCGCTGTAGTTTTTTTTTTCTGCTAATGCTCCACCAGACCCGTGCTGCCTCACATGCTCAGTGGGACAGTCTGGTGACTTCTTTGGTTGGTCAGGTGCATCATGTTTGACGTTTAAAACCCCGCCTTCTCTGTATGCATCTCTGTTTTCATGCATCGTCTGGTTGAAGCCGTAAAGCTAAGAGTGAGCATGGTCCATTTTAACTTGTTGATGTAGCACTCTTGGTTTTCATGAAGGGACTCCGATGTGAAAGTGCATCACGCATGCTTCCTATCTAAGAGTGATCGCAAAGGGAAGTCGGGGGTCATGTCGAAGTCTTTTTTAGAGATAAATTCTCACCCTAAATCAATGCACGATGTCACAGCCTTCCCCTTTCTTTAAGTTTCTTATATTGAATACCCGAACAGACTTGAAGCGAGGTCCAAAGAAGGAGTTGTGTCGGGCTCAACTTTCAAACATCTTCGGTTAGATAGAAGGATTACTGTTCGCAGACTCTCCCTGCTTATCAGTGTTGTCCTTCCTCCGTATTATTTATGATAACCGGAGGAAGTTTTCAAAACCTCCGAGTTTAATTTGCAGCCAGTTTTGTATGCGAGAAAGAAAAGGGACAAATCTAGAGAGGATTCTTATGCAAATGCGTCGTTCTCTGTGTGAAATAACACGGGGCCACATTAAAACTTCCCTCAACTAAACCGCCCGACAGAAATGACTATTGACTTGCAAATCAAAAAACTAAGCCCCAGACACCCGCTCTCATCCAGGAAGAGAGAGCGGGTACCGAGAGGGAGACGGAGAGACATGGACATGGGGAGGAAGAAAAAAGAAGGAGACAGATGGGAACGGAAAAGCAGTGACAGACGGAGGGGGGGGGGGAAGAAAAAGAAAGATGGAAGTAGAGAGAGCGAGAGAGAGAGAGAAAATGTGCGAGATAGGCCGAGTGAATTGGAGAGGGAAGAAGTGACAGAGGAGAAGATGCAGACAAAGGAGGAGGAGGGATAATTAGCCACAGTCTAGCAGGCTGACAGATCTGTTAGACCACTTTAGCTCTCATCCACTAGTGGTGGGTACTTCATTACCAGCCTGTGTTCTCCCTCCTCTCTCTCTCTCTCTCTCTCTCTCTCTCTCTTCCTCCATCTCTCTTACACTCTTAAAGTGTCACTTGTCTATTCTGCCTCTTCTTCTTCTCTCTGTGTAATGTATATTAGATGGTCTTAAGCATTAGCATGGTGGATAAAGGGCCTTTCTGCTGCTTGTTTCTCTGACTATGACAGACGTGTGTAACAGTCTTGTGATTTAAGCGCTCATTCTGCACATGCTGTGAAAGAGAAACGGAAAATATGAATTCATAAATGTATCTCAGTGTCATCAAATGTGATCCAAAAGACCAAATCCCTCTGATATATACTGGTTGTCTCGTTTATTCCATAGCGTGCAATCAGACTCTCTCTCTCTCTTTCTCTCTGTGTGATAATGATCGTCATAGTGACAGATATACGACTCGAGAGAGAGAGAGAGAGAGATCCCAAGCTGCCGTTTATGACCAAAGTCTGCAAACCCATTGCTGTGACGATCACAAACCTCGCTGCCGCTTTTTCACTTCTGCTCGTGGCTCTGCTCTCACCGCGAGAGTGTGTGCGCGGCCCCCGATCAGCGGCTCCCTGTCCTCACTGACAGCTGATCAGGTCGCAATCATGCCTCAGTGTACACTGCGCAGACTGATTACACACACCTGTGCTGGAATCTTAAAATTAGTGTCGAAGTCGCCTGAAATCGTGCCAGCTTGCTTATGGCCTTAGCGAGGATGCACAGGTGAACCCTTCACCCACGACCTAAAAATAAAGCGTGAAAACAGTCAGAGCATGCAAGCCATGTATAAAAAGAATGAAACGTTGTCGAGGAAATCTGTCGACAGAGATCATAAGACGCTGCTGTAGGCTGTAACTCCACACTGTGAACACCGTGCAGCTTTGACAGAGTTCATGTTTAATTGAAGGGGTTTTAAAATAGACAATGGAAGCACAGACGTCTTAGTTGGTTACACCTCTGTGTCCTCTCTCTCCACGAGTCTCCACCCTGCATCCTTCACATTCATCTCAGGCAGGAGAGAAGTTTAGAAATATGAAGACAGGAAAATGAGAAAGTACAGAGCGACTCCCTGACACGTCTTTGACCTCCAGTGCTTTCTGAGTCATGCGGGCACAGTTTACCTACATGGTACTGCGGTCGGGCCATCTTTCCACGACCCCAGATGTCTGCCACTGTCCACACACACACATACACACACACAGCCACCCACATGTGCGACGTCTGCGAAGGGAACCCGCCGTAACCTAGCAACGTCAACAGCTGCGTGTGGTCCGCCGCTGAAACCTCGCAGGTGTAAACTTTTCTCGCTGTGTGTATTTTAAAACGCATAAATATAAATTAGCAGATTCCAGAGATCCCACGAAGCAAACATGACGATGGCTGCAGCGTGCAAATGATTATTGTTTCCAAGGGAACGACGCGTCTGTTTCTTTCATCTTTTACATTGCCGCTGTTGTAATCATAGTGAGGGAGAAACGGGCTCATTATGCCGCACACACAGGATCAGGTATGTGCCTGTAAACCCCTTAATGCTAATGTAGCTCTTTCCGTTTTGTTTGTGAAGGATAATGTGCATACTTCATCGTGTGTTTGCATAGTTTTGCTAACAGAGACATGAGTTCCCCCCCTCCCCTCCCCTCCCCTCCCTTCTCTTCCTGTCAAGGCCCTCACCGCTGGACTCCCGGCTCTGTCTCCCTAATTTACCGTCGGACATTTTCATTACGCCTTCAATGGCAGGTGTGTGCCGTGATGGGCGTCACATTTGATTAGAGCGATGCCAGAGGCTGACCTGTGGAGAAAAAAGGTTAGCTATGCTTGTCAAATTTTATTAGCCAGAAGGCGCTCTTTGTTGCCGGAGCAAAGAAACAAGGAGACGAGATGAAAGAGGAAGGAGAGGGGAGGGAAGGCCAAGACGGAGAGAAGTAAAGACTCCAGGAAGAATTGTGCGAAAAGAAAAAAGGAAGATTAAGACGAGTGAATGGCACCTCAGTGAGCATGCTCGCACGCCTCCTGAGCTTACCTGTAACCAAATCCTTCCCTTAAATCCCTCCACGCTGCCTTAACTTACTGTTAGAAAAGAAACTACAAGGTCTTTAAGGTGTCTTGGTGCGATCCAGAAGGGCCCGTTTTGCCCCCCCCATGGAGGGAAAAAGAGTCCGACTTCCCTTTTACCCTACGCGTCCAGAGATGCCCCGCTTTCTCGAGTTTGGAAAATGCATCCACTTGTTTTGGCGTTGTGGGTGTAGTTGTCAAGCAGCACCTGCCTGAGGAGGAGCTCAAAGAGGGGAAAAAAAGGAGATGTTGTTTCCCTGGAAAACAACACATCATTAGCGCAGCCTGCATATTAACTCGTTTTGTCTTCTCTGCCTTTCAAGCGTCTCTTATCGCCGCTCCGTCGACACAATTAAAGTTTTCCTTTTGCATTCAGGCGGCTTCCAGTTTCTTCTCTCACCTCAGGAAGAGTGGAAGCCGACTGTTTTTGGAAGCTTTTATTGTGAATTAATCAACTCTTATTTTGACATAATGAGTAATGAGCCCGGTTTATTAAAGGGAGGATTGCACTATGAAGCGCGAGGCAGTTGTTTTTCTGTCTTTGTGGCTTTTTGAAGAATCGATACTCAGCCGTCATCTTCAACTTCAACTTCAAATAAACTTTATTTACCCGTTAGAAACTTCAGTTGTGTAATAAAGCATCAACTGAAGGACGGTTTGGGATCACTGGAGAGTTGGGGGAGGCATTGAAAACCTTTTTGTTTCAGTTTCCAGCTCCTCTGGGTTTCTCTTCGACTTTATTTTCCAATACTAGAGGAAAACCAAAGACTGACCAGGCGCTTTGATGTCTACTTACCTCCAGCATGCAGGCAGCACAGACAGAAAACTGCCCCGTGTGTTGTGTTCAAATCAGCTGGCCGCAGCAAGAAGAAGTCGCCAAACTAGCCGGCGGCGGCGCACACTTCCTAATTAGCCTGTCCCCACACAGGCGAGCACCGCAGGATAGATGCTGCCCTCGCACTCTCTCCCCGCTCGCTTCCCCACCGCAGACGCTTTTTTGTTCTCGCTCCAGATCCCTCGCTCCTTCTTCTTTTCACTCTTTTTTTTTTTTTTCCCCCCAAGTTTGCAAACTCTCCGTCTTCATGTCGCTGTTTGGCTCGTGCTCTCATTCTGTCGTCTGATGCGTCTTTCATTTCCTGCTCCCGTTGTCTCATCTTCTTCCCCCTTCTTCCTGCAGACTTCATCCTCCTCCACTTTTTTCCCCCTCCTCTCCCAGAGCGCGCTCAGATCAACATGCATATTCAGACACCCTGAAATATGGATGGATTATGATACTTGAAGGAAAAACACGTCTGACTTAAGTGGTGTCAATTTCTGCTCTTTAGTTCATATGGCAGACGAAAACTTTATTGATTTATTGATCAGTTTTAGTCTATTTACAGCTTACATTCCCAGGACTGATGGCCTTATGAACCGACAAGCAGTCAGTGCATCTCATAGAAGAGCAGCATGTGTCTGCTAACCAGGATACAGACTTACTCTTAAACTGAAGCAGGTCCTGAATGACGGCTGAATATTTCCTGCCACTTAATGCAAAAGAGGAAAAAAAAAAAGAGAATCAGGCTAATTATTTTCTTTTACTAGACGTAACATATTATTTAAAAAAACGGCCGCCTGCTCCCATCTGTTTATCACAATCATACATCACAAACGCTTAACGCTGTTGTGTTTAAGCAGCTAGCCTCAGGCCTGCAGACGGGATATGAGCAGCAGTTATTAGCTGCTGATGACAACAGGGGAGCCTACCTGTCTCCCTCTGAACACACACACACACACACACACACACACACACACACACAGATAGGACAAGACAGGCGAGTGTGTGTGTGTACACGGACACATCAACACACTCATGTCTCCCTCTTCTGTCACTGTTTGGAAAGCAGCCTGCTGAATTGTCAACCTGTCAAAGTGCTACTCAACAAACCTCAACACCCCCCCCCCTTTTAAACCCCCGCCCCCCCCTCTAATGTTTTATCCCGAATCAGCCTCACTCTTCAGCCATTAATATGATAATATTTGGCGTCGTCAGTGATGGAGGCTGCGGCATAATGAGATAATTACAGTGTTGTTTCATTTGGAGAGCGACACGCACGCTCAATCAAAATGGCAGCCCTAATTACGAGCCCTGGGATTGGCTAATGGCGTGAAAAAAAAAAAAAGAAAAGGAGTCTGGACTTGGCTCTGTGCAGTGGATCTCTGAGGATCTGTTTGTTTGCATGTGGAGAGAGGCTGGTGGGCGGCAGAGGGTGAGTAAGAGTAGTAAAAGTGAATAAATGGAGGTGTGCAGGGTGCAGAGGTTAGTATTGATCAGCAGTGCATTAATACCAACCTGAAGAAGCAACAATTAGCACAGGACTGATCAGAATGCAGACTTAGATGTCCAGCTTGATTTCACTTGTTTCATTTTGTCGGGGGAAGTCCTCATCGACAGGTGGCTATAAACCTTTTTGAGTCGTGGACGTAGCGAGCTAGATGATGCCTGGTTGTTTGTTCATCGCTGTTTTGATCCTTTTGAATTTGGGATAATGGCCTCTGACTTCTTCTTTTCTTTGATGAGTTCGGGGTAATTAGGTTAAAAAACAAAAGTAAAGTCAGAGGTAGTGTTGTCGTCGAGACCATACTAACCGAGACCAGGACGACATACCAGAGACCAGAGTGCTCCTAGACCGAGACAAGACCAAGACCTTTAGGGGTGGAGACCGAGTCAAGACCAAGGCAGGACGAGAGTGAGACTATATCAAGACATCTAGGGATGTCCAAGTGCTCTTCCCAGACAAGACCGAATAAAAATGCTTACGACTCCAAGATCGAGACCTTCATGAAGCGGTGTCGAGACCACCTTCCGAGTATTACAACACTAGTACGAGGTCAGGTAAAGGTCGTATTTTAATTCTGGTGTAAAGTTTAAGGATTGTTAAAATGAGACCTGATGAGTGTTGACTCACTCTTGGAGCCGGCCTCTAGTGGCCTGTAGAGGACCTGCACTTTTCTGACACTTCAGCTTTGGCATTCATTTATCAGCCATGGAGTCTGCCAACAAATACATTTGCACTTTGCAGATGAGCGTCCTGTTGCAGAAGTTTGCATGAGTCAGCCTCCTCTCCCCGCTGAGTCGTACAAAAGGTCGGCTGTATTAACCGAGGGTGCGTGTATGTATACCTGCACGAACAGAGGTGCAGAGCGCCATCCCTTATAGCGCATTACGAGTATTAACACAACACATTCCTGAGGTTGTCCTCACACACACACACACACACACACACACACTCGGGGCCTCAGCTAGATTTTCTAATTAAAGGCAGGGTCACAGGAGAGACTTAAACATGTAAGCTATGTACTTCACTAATGAACCTCTCCGTCTCTCGCTCGAGCCCGCTCTCTCTCTCTCTCACACACTCGGTAACGGTCAATATCTGCCCGGAGGTCAGACCATTAGGATGTGAGGCACAATTTGATTCAGCATGTGTGGGTGTTTATGTGACAGACAAAGGCCTTTTCTTTCTTTTTTTTTTTTTTAAAAGATCCTGCAGCGTGTTTTTCTTCCCCCCCTGTGTGTTTGGATGTGTGTATCTCCTGACAGGGTATCAGTGTCAATATTAGATTCCCTGTTTGCAATGCAGCCAGTAAACATAGATAAACGACAGCACAGTGTTGTACTTCGGTTGCACATCCGACAGGGATTATGCTCACTCAGACGCACACTTTTCCTCCCTTTTGTGTGTGTGTATCCATACATCCCCCGGCTCTGTACTCTCAGGTGTGCGCAGCTTATCTGGCATAAAGGTCCAACGCGCATGATGATGTTTCTCTTTAACTTTTGTCCTCATTCTGTCCTCTTTTTCTTTACTTTCTCGTCTTGCTTTCACCTTTTCCATTGGGGGGGGGGGTCAGCTGGATCGTTTTATGTTGTTGTCTCGTCCCTGCGTCTGTGTGGACTTTAATTGAGGGGAGCGTCGCATTGGCCTGTGTGACTTCCACATCCATCAAATGTTTCTATATACTATGTGTTTGTGGTTTTTTTTTTTTTGTGTGCCTTTTTTTTTTCCACCTCGGTCGTCTCTGTCAGCAGTAGAAAGTTCAGTTGAGGCGGCGGTGTTTTTTTTTTCAGAGGCAGTGCTTTGTGGATATTATCTGTCTGCCTGTCAGTCTTCCTGCGCTGTCAAGGGTTGTCTCTGCAAAGCCAAAGAAACACCGGTGGATAGAACAAAGAATAAAAGTGAATGTACCATGTTCCACCTGGCTTTTCTTCACGTTTTAACAGTCTCTTAAAGTGAACAAAAATACAGCGTGATATTTAAGAGTTAGACTGTGACTAACTAACTAACCATTTAGGATAAATACACCTGTGGTTTAAACATAACTGACTAAGAAAACTGATCCTTTTCTCTGGAATGTTTTCCCTGACGTTCTCTCTGAACACCAGCGTTATTCTCACCTCCGTCCCCTCTCCGTCTCTCCGCAGCGATCCGCGTCTCCAGGGGCCGAGGAGAGAGTACCAGCAGGCCCGAGCTGCTCCAGGCTACGAGGAGCTGGAAGCAGCACGACGCAGAGTCCTGGAGAACGACCCGAACCGGGTGAGTTTGAACATCTGCGGACGTGCAGCCTAGTCAGGAAATGGGTTTGCAGCAAGACCGGATTTAGTCTCAGTGGACTCGAGTCTTAAAGAAGAAAGTTTTTGTGTTCATGTCTCCAGAGCACCTTCTGTGTTCCTGTGAACTCAGCGAGTTTCCCCCTGCTCCTCTCGGGCTATTTTCAGCCCTCTTGTTAACATTTTGAGGCTCCTCGTGCCACTGAGGCGGCGCCCGCTCTCCTCCTCATTTAGTTTATGGAGAGATCTATTGGAGCGGTGACATTTCCAACCGCCCTTTCCTTCCTGGCTCTATATATCACAACCTTTTTCTCTTTCTCATGCTCTTACCCTGTGGCCTCCGCATTCTTTTCGTCACGTTGTTGTTTCTTTTTCTTCTTTCGTCGAGAACAACAAAAGGCGTCAAAATCTCTCGCTCTCCGTTGCGTCTCTCTGCAAAGCTGCTCTGCTAAATGTCCTCGCATCGATCAGGCCTGAGGAATCATTTCATTTACCTCGGTACACTCTCCAACCTCGGCATACTCGCCACGGAGATCGATAGCCCTTTATCAGCCATTTTAGAATGGGATTTCTTTAATAGCGCGCCCAAGGATGCAGAAAATCACACTTTGATCCGATGAATCTGGCTGCAGCCAGTTTGTGAAGGCATTTCCCTAAAATGTATTTTTCAATACATGACACAACAGAGCAACGAGAGGAGCTGAGGCATCTGGGAAATATGGGATGGATTTACTGCCAGCATCGCCGATAACCAATCACCTGCCACAGCCTGCCTCCTGCCGAGCTCACTTCCTCGCTTATTGTAGTCTCTGCTTATTGAGCACTGAAGCCCGGCCGACCAGTCTTCATTAGGCGCTCTCTTTACTCGCCGTCTTTGCTCTCTGCGAGGGCCTGAAGGGCTTTGTCACTCATTACACGTCCCCTGTGCAGCTCCTGTTTGTGCCTCAGTCTGCAAAGTAACTCTGACGCAATTAAAGCGCAGCGAGCGCGAGGCTCAACATCTTCTCTGATTGCTGTTTTTTTTTTTTCCTTCTTCTTCTTTAAACCCCAAAAGAAGACAGCGACGGTGTCCACGGTGGGGAAACAGCGGCGTGTTCCTCCCCCGAGGAGCCTGATAATGAAACACCCCGATCACAATCACACACATACAGCGAGAAAAGAAACAGTCAAACACACAGGAAGTAATATTGGTGCAAAGATGATAATGAGTGTTGTCTTGAAGCACAACATGATGGCTGCTTTGATTCTTTGGCTCCAGCTCAGGGTTTCTTGAGTTGTTCTGCAGTCCTTTTGGAGAGGAAGAAAATCTGAGAAATGAATCAAATCTGAATTTTCTAGCTTGTTGGTTTGGACTTAGAGGTTAGGAGGAGGACAAAAAGCACCTTGTACTGCAGTCAGGTTATAAATATTTCATCATTGGGTTCATGTGATCCCAACCAACACTCCAAACGTGGCAATAAATACTAAAGGGTCTGGCAAGAGTAACACCGAGAGAGATCAATCTGGCCGTTTGCGTTCACACATGCAGCTCCTCCTGGAGTTTTTCAGGAGATTTCTGAAAGTGTGAAAGCCCTGATAGATCCAGAACAGCAGAAGTTAAAGCTCTATTATGTAAATACACACTTCCTGAAGAGACACTTTGTAGGTTTAGAATAAAACCAAACAGTATTTTATCCCTCAGTAGTCTTTCATGTGCGGCTGCAAGTCTTCAGCAGACATGATGAAACTGAATCTTCAGTTCAACAGAAGTGTCCGTGCGCGACGTAGTGAAGACGTGATGGAGCGCTTTAATGTTTGTGTTGACGGTTGTTCTCCTTCAGGTGCTGACAAAGTGGAGTTTAAAGTGTCCACATGTTTCTGTTCACTAACACATCACTCCACACACACTTAAACTCTCTCTCTCTTTCACTCACTGTGTGGTACGAGAAGAGCGTGAATGCAGACCACTTGAGCGCGTTGCTCACTTCGTCCTTCAGCAGCCGCCTCCATCACCACACCGCGCTGCTCTTTTATACTTCTGCAGCCGTGAATGTTTAAAAGGGTTTTTTTTTTTTCTCTCTCTCTCTCTTTCTCTTTACAAGATCTCCACACAAGGCCAGGAGCGCCGTTTTCTCTCTGAGTGCTTCATGTGCAAAAAGGAGATGAGTGTGTGTGTGTCTCTTCAGTGTAGCACACTAACCTGAGCTGACACAAACAAAAGCTGGGATAAAAGACTGTTTAGAATATCTATTCATGTCTTTGTTTATTCTCCAAGCAGTCGTCTATCTGTGGTGGGGTTTTCCCTCTGTGTGTGTGTGTGTGTGTGTTGAGGATAATTGAAGTGTGTGTGCAGCTCTACACCTTCACGGTCCCTTCATGTCCCCCTTCCTCATTTTCCCTCCTCGTCCTTCATGTCTCTGTCCATCTCTCTGTCTCTAATTTGACCCGTCCTCCATGTTCCCCGTCTGTGGATAGGTCACACATGTAATTATGACAATCACGCTGTCCCCACCTGTCCCTTGTCTATTTCCTCTTTATGCTAATGACAGGCCCGCCGTAAAGCCTTGATGGCCAATTAAGCTGCAAAACTACACAAGCGCTCCTTTTTCTTTTTATGGACTTTCTTTGTTCTAGGAGATGAGTCGAGGGATAACTTTTTCACCAGAAGCACGAGCGCTGGTGTCGAGAGTATTTGATTTCAGACTTTATTTAATTATCTGAAAAGTGGAAATGTATGTTTAATCCTTAACAGGGAAACTTTACGGATTGAGGGATACGCTTCCACAGAGTAAGGAGTCTTGTAAATAAGACGTGAATGATAAAGTGAGCTTACTATATGATCAGCCAGTATGTCCTCCTTCTAACTTTAGATTCTGCTCCTGAATGATCTGGATTTGTTTGGACCAGAGAAGGTAGACGGCCTACACACTAGGGGTCAGAGTTACATATTGCTCCTTTAATTCTAACGACTTTTAGCTACATTGTCCTTTGTGTTGTTTATACCTGATCTGATCTCTTTAACTCTTCAGCAGTTTTCAAGCAGTAAAGGTTCTTAAGTATTTTCAGTTGTTCCTTCTTATCTTTTAAAGACGTGATCCCACTCTCACATTCATTCTTTCAGCCTATTTGCCCCCCTGTTGGTTGTGACAGACATCCCAACATGTTTACAGCCGACGCTCTGAGCATGATCCCTTCCTCACCTCCGCTCCCTGACGCCGCTGAACACCCGGGCAGCGTCACGTCAAACGCGCACGTTGTGTCTTTGTTCACTGAGGTCTCCGGTTGTGTCGTGTCTCATGTTTATTGTGACGTAAATGTACTTTATGTGCATTTCCGCTGACCACGCATAACGTGACATCAGATGAGAATGAGTGATGCTGTAGTGAGCAGTTCAACAAAGACACACACACACACACACACACACAGACCAACTCATGCATCTTATCTCCAACTCATTACCCTGTGAATCGTAAACAACAGTGGCAGCACATGTGACACCTTAATGAACACAGAAGTCACAGGGAAACCACACACACACCGCCACACACTCCGAGTCGTTATAAAACACACACACGCGCGCACTCAGAAGCACTCGCACAAGTCCAGATACGGCTTGTCAAGCGTTGCGCAGCTGTTTTTTTTTTTTGCACTTCTCTCTAATGTTGTGCGTGTGGACATCCATCACCTTGATGATATTTTAATGTCACATCCTCGGGCTGTCTCAATCTCTTGCCCCAACTCTCTCACTTTTTCCCTCCCACACGTCGGCCATCACTTCATAAATAAACCCCCACATCATTAAGTAAACACGCAGCAGCCTGTCACTGTGATAGATGGCCTACACACACACACACACACTCTCAGACACACACACACACACACACATATGCAGACGCTGGTGATCTGTGCGGGGGGTGCTTTGTGCCCACAGGCGAAAGACCCCGATGTTTTTTTGTTTTTTTTGTTGCTCCCCAGAGTCCTAATGGATGCACACATTCTCATCTGTGGTGCTGATCCAAAGCTCAGTGTGAGGAATTAAGTCAGAAACGCACCATCAGCAGATTCTATTTGTGACGCATCAGCTGTATTCATCATGGACGTAGCCACCGTGGCGTCGCCATTGGTTCGTCGTCTGCCTTTTTGAAGTCTCAAGTTCAGCATTTTTTGCTACTGCTTATCTCGGCCTCCTGGAGCACAAAAGTTACCATATTTGGACCAGAGGGAGGAGCTGATGAATGGAGCTTTTTGCTTCATTTATCAAACACTAGTGCTTACCTATGTGCACTTTACAGATGTGCATACTGGTACAGATGATTACAGATATATGACTCTCTTCAGTTGCAGCCTTAAGTGGCCACTCGAGGAACTGCAGTGTTTGGCATTTTCTTTAGGCTTCTTTTTTCAGCCTTGGAGGTTTCTGCTTGATGTCATGGCAACACTCTTCAGGATGCTGCGGTAACATTTTGACATGTAGTTTTGTTTACTGGTGAGTCTGGTTGGCTCCCACCATGCCCCAGTGCCCAGCCGTCACTGCTTCCACCTGACAAGTGCCTGCTCTCGCCGCGCACCTTCTGCTGCGAACAATTCAGGGCCCCCGCTCACCGAGGACACACACTCACACAGAGAACCGGTGTAATGGATGTGCTGGCAGCCCCGTCCTGCTGTGTGCCTGCAGCTTGGGAGGCTGACACGAAGAAAAAAAAAATGGTTTAGCCCAGCAGAAAGCTGCTTATAAAGACGAGAGGGGCACCCATGGGAGAGGGAGAGGGAAGGGGAGTGGCAGCCAGTCAGACATATGTGCATAGAAAGAGTAGGAAAAGAGAGAAACATGACTGAGCAACAGAGCAGAGTCAAACCAAATAAGAGTTAAAGAGCAGCCTGAGGGGGAAGATGGGAAAGATGAGAAATAGCACATCTAACAGGGGAAGAAGCTACATTGGCACGAGGAGGAGGCAGATGGGATGGAGGAGCTGACAGACACATGGAGGCATTGACATAAACAAGTAA